TACAGTGGTACCTCTGGTTATGAACTTAATTTGTTCCAGAGATCCGTTCTTAAGCTGAAACCATTCTTATCCTGAGGTGCGCTTTCGCTAATGGGGCCTCCCACTGCGTGTGCACCAGAAGCCTGCGATTTCTGTCCACATCCTGGGGCAAAGTTCACAACCACGAGCAGCTACTTCCAGGTTAGTGGAGCTTGTAAACTGAAGTGTTCATAACCAGAAGCATTCTTAACCAGCAGTACCACCGTACAACTCCCATCATCCATTACCACTGGCCGTTCTGACAGGAGCAGCTGTAAAATTTATCCTCTTAACAAGCCTGCCTCTCTCTCTCTCTTTCTCTCTCTCCTCTCTCTGTACACATATCTCTTTCCTCCCAGGCTTTTAAGAATCTCTGGTATTTTTATTTCACGTAATATGAATCAATGTTCTTTTAAAACCTAATTTAACCACATAGCTGGAGACCCTTAGTATTCAGAATCAGCTTGGGGTGTGTGTGTGTGTGTGTGTGTGTGTGTGTGTGTGTGTGTAATTAAACACGATTTAAAGATTATAATGGATACAGCTGGGAAATATTAATCAAAGAGAATAATATCGAGAAAAGTAATTGCTCATTTGATTTCAGCAATTCAGGTCAAATATCTCAAGGGAACAGACATTTTTTGAAATTAGGCAATTTCATTTAAACGACTATTTTTGAAGTTATTTGCCAGCAATCCAATATACTCAAGTACTAAGGAAAGTTTATTTAAAGTTCCCCTTGCTGTGTAATTGTAAGCCATAAGGACTTTGATTATGGGAAAGAACAGTCTTACTAGGTAAGACCAATGGTAGTCCAGTCTAGTATCCTCTTGACAACAATGGCTAAATTCTGGAAATGTCTACAAAACAATTTACATTATTAGATGTTTTCTAATAAGAACTACCAACTTCTCAGCTGATTGGCTGTTTTTCAAATAACATGCCAATTACTATTTATTTTAATCAGTTATCTCCAGTACCGATCTTGGTGTTGGAAATGCAACAGCGGGCATCATTGTGTGTATGATGTAGGAGTTATTTCTGTTCTCTGTTTTCCTCTTGAGAAGGTGGAAATGTTGCTTACCAACCAGTCAGAGTAGCGTGAGATTTCTACTCAGATGGCATGTGCTCTGATTGGCTGTGTAATTCTGATGGAGTTTCCCCACTGTATGTTTGGTTAAACTGCTTCCGGCTATGTACAAAGCCCGACCTAAGAAACACAAAGGTTCTTTATTTCATTCTCCTAAAATTATGCAAATTTGTTCAGTTTCCTGCATAAAGTGTTATCAAGACATAAATCCTGGAGAGCCACTGCCAGTGCATGTAGACAGCTGACTCCATATACTGACTCAGTATAAGACTGTTTGATTCTGCAAAATGTTCAGGGAATTTAATGACGCTAAGCATGCTGTTGCTAAACAGAAGAGGAAGTTGTTTATTGCTAATATTGATCATGCTGTGGGGTGATTATGGCACTTGGACTTTGAGTAGGTGCAGAGTCTGCTTCAGTCTTTCCTGGCTTTCTTTCAGTTTGTCATCCACTACAATTCAGAAATCTTTCTGATACGTGTTGCTGTTTCTTTGGTTTTTGGAAATTGTTTTGCATGCGTGTAATTGACTGCTTAATCAATTACAACTAGGGGAAGAGTGAAATAAGTATGAAAAGTAATCATCAGTACTGGCAGAATGCAAAAATGCAAGGGTTTGACCCCAGTAGTTTCCTATTTTACTCAAAGCACATTCACTTCACTAGCTCGATATATAAGCACTGAGCATGGCTAAGGACAGCTGATCTGGGTCAACATTTGAAAATTCAACATACCAGCTTTTCTCTGTCCATACTCTGTAGGAGGGACCTTTAAGGGGTACAAATCTGGGGATAACCTCAAATTTCACAGATGGGAAGTGTACTTGTTTTCCCAACAGCAGGGACACTTGTTGATTAATTAGTGTTTATTCTCCCCATCTGTACTGTAGCTGATGTTTGGGAAGTTGTTTTGAAATCCTACTTCCAGACCCATTGATTCTTAATTCTTGCAACACCTTCTAGTTCCCCTTCCCCACATGTCTGGCTGATGATGTTGTATAGGAAACCTATTGCAGGAGAATTTTGTATATTAAGCTTTGTACAGTTATTCCACCTTATTGTCACATCTTAAAGAATTAAAACTTTTAGGTCTCCCAGGAGTTTTTTGTTTACTATACAGTGGTACCTCAGGTTAAGTACTTAATTCATTCCGGAGGTCTGTACTTAACCTGAAACTGTTCTTAACCTGAGGTACCACTTTAGCTAATGGGGCCTCCTGCTGCCGCCGCGCCACCGGAGCACGATTTCTGTTCTCATCCTGAAGCAAAGTTCTTAACCTGAAGCACTATTTCTGGGTTAGCAGAGTCTGTAACCTAAAGCGTATGTAACCTGAGGTACCACTGTATTGTCTTGATTTACTGTTTTTATCTTGCTTCTGCTATTTATTTTTTTTAGCTTAAAGACTGTTTCACTGCTTTTTATTCTGTTTTCAAGCCAGCTACTTAGTAAAAGCAAGGAACCTCTCTCTGCTAGTGTTGTTATTGCCACTTAAGCCAAAGTTACGCTTGCATTTGGCAAAACATGTGTCTTCTCTCTGAATCTGATCAGTGATATCCAAAGCACCCTGGATAAAGCTGGACTAGCTAAAATATTGTCACTGTGTTTTGATGTTCTCAAGACGGCATTTGAAATAGAAGTTCTTAGCATGTGAAAATTAGTGGAGACAGTTATGGTAGAACTTGAATAATCTGAAAGGCTGAGGAAGAACCCAAATTACTCAGAATTACATGGGGCTACACACACTAAGCAGGGGTATATTACATATGATGGTCTCAATATAAGTATAGTATTCTGCCTAAATGGAGTTTCTGACATTTAAGGAATTGTGGTTTCTTTGTTCTAATCCTGCATCTCCTTCCCTTGTGTTGGTTCCAGAGGCAGACAAAAATAGAGAGAGCGAGAGAACACTTGTATGGATTATGACTTCCTCCTTCTATTTGCTGAATAGAAATCTCACAGTAAGTTTTGTGCAAATATATGTAGGTTGAAAAAAAACTTTGGAATTGTATGTGTGGTACTAAACAAATGATGAAGTTATTGAGTTTAATATGATAACATCTCAGATTGTTTGGAGAAGCCACACATCACCATCCCAAGACTTCGTTCCCAGGTGAATATTAGAGTTTGTGTGCAAGCAACAAAAATAGTGCTGTGATATTTACAAAGATCAGCTATGGATAATTTAAGCTTTTGCTCCTAACCTTGACTTTGCTGTGACGATAAATAAGAACTTAAGAGGTGGTATTCTGGTTCTGTTGAATTTGGGTAAGTCATGAAATGAAATCTACAAGGATGGGAAACCCAAGGCCTCCAGACATTGTTGGTCTTCATCTCCCATAAGATGAGAGTTGCAGTACAATACCTAGAGAGTTATAATAAATTGATTAGTATCGTGTTATTTTTTAAAGAAATTCACTTCTCATGATTTCATTTCCAGTTTTCTTATGCTCATATCCTGCCTTTCTTCCATTATGGAACCAGGGTGGAATAAATATGGTTCCCAGGCAGCAGCCCAACCAGACATTGACCAGACCCAGGTCGTCTTAGCTCCAGCAAACTGGTGGCCTCATGTGCCTTCAGACCATACCTTGGAACAGCTGGTGACCATCTCTTAGACAGTGTATCAATTTCTGGCAAAGATCTCATACTACGTGGAGAAGTACCTGTTTCTGTGGTCCATGTGCTGCAAAATGATAGCATATGTTTGCATCAGATTAAGGAGCTATGAATAATTGGACTGTGTCTATTAGAACTTAGTGTATACCACTTGGGACAGCTTTATTGAAATCAACTTCCTTCTTAAATACTGTATTTTTCGCCCTATAGGACGCACCGTCCCATAAGGTACACCTAGCTTTTTGGGGGGGGGTGAATAAAGGGGAAAAAATTATTTCCCCCCCAGGCACGGGGCTGGGGCGGGGGAAGCCCGAGCTTCCCCCAACCCCCAGCCCCCAGAACAGGCAACTCTCCACAAGCCGTGGGAGCCCGGCGCTGGGCTCCCGCGCTTTGCAGAGAGCTGAGCTCAGCGCGCCCAGGCTTCGGCATGCAGGCAACTCTCCGCAAGCGGCGGGAGCCCAGCGTTGGGCTCCCGCACCTTGCGACCCCTCTCGCTCTCCAGGCTTCAGCGAAAGCCTGCATTCGCCCCATAGGATGCACACACATTTCCCCTTCATTTTTGGAGGGGAAAAAGTGTGTCCTATAGGGCGAAAAATACGGTAAAAAGATGAGTGTGGCTGCTTGGCTGACATTTCTCTGGAACTGCTGATCTGGAATTTTCTGAGAGGCAATTTACACCTAGAGTTGGGGGACTCTGATTTGTAATGGGGAGAGCAGGACAGAGACTTAATCTTTTACATTGGCCTGGTGCTTACTTTTATTAGTATGTTTACATACTGATGTTTTATTATTCTATTAATTTTATTTACACCTCATTTGTCAATTTCTACTTTGATAAATAATATATTAAGGGGAGGGAGGAGAAATTAATATAAAAAACTCTCTTGGTACACACATCTAAGCTTGTTCTGGGATGTTACATAATAAAATAACCTGGGAAAATTTCACATGTTGACATTATTGATTCATAGTCTCTAGATACTAGGAAAATATTACAGGAGACTATCTGGTTGTCTCTGGAGGGCTAGATGTCTATGTGATTTTATAACAAGTTTAGGAATTTATTTCCCCTGAAGGTCATTATGGCACACTTGATTATGCTAGTTATGAAATTTCACCATCCAGTTCTACTACACAGCAGCAAGATGATACCTGCCATGTGCAATTATTTATCCTTTAAGACTTTTTCTGTTCCAGATCAGGTTCTGTAAATGTGTTTTAATGTGCTTGCCACATTGAATCAGATTGTGGCAGGCTATAAAAAAAACCCAATTTCATTGGTTAAAATAAATAAGCCAAGGCAGGTAAAGGCCTCTGAGTTGAAAATATTCCAGTAGCTTTGGCTGGTGGTCCAGTTGCACTTCTGTCTTGACAGGGATAGCCTAACTTCTGTTGTCTAAACTCTGGCAATCTCTAGGTTAGATTACTGCAACACATTATACATGGGGCTGGTGCAGAATTTGGCAGCCAAGTTGCTCCCCAGGGCAAGATGGTTTGAGCATATAACAGTTATCCCTGCATGTTTTGGGTACTGTAGCCTGGGTAACTCCACCCACATTAAGATTTGGCAGCAAATGATTCAGACGCTGGTTGCCTATCCATAGGTTAAGCATTTGTTGCAGCTCCCCTAGATATCAGTTAACATTCCTGTATGAAATTCCTATGCTGTTGCAGAAAGAAAGCTCAGTGTGCCAGCAAATGAGTCTGACTCCATGCTCTCTTATTCTCTCACTTAATAGCTTGAGAAACAAAAACAAAATTGAAACCCCTCTGGGCATATAGAGGCAGAATGAGCAAAAGGAAGGGGGGTGTTCTTGCATGCTAGCAAACCTACTGTTTGCGAACCACAATGAGGTCTTTCAGCTGTATGTGTTTAACATCAATGAAGGGATTCCACATATGGAAGGAGGGAAGTTTATAGATTCCTCCTTGCAGATCCTTGTGGCCCTATTTCGTAAGACTGATGGAGCCCTCAGAACAGTGTGGAAAGTGATATTGGAGGCGACAGAGACAACTAGCAAAAATCCCTTCCTCATGCTTCCATGAGTGGGAGCCTCTGTTGAATTGTAGCCCGCACCATCAATAACCTGCACTTGCTGAAGAGGCAGCACTAGATAAAAATGCTTAAGGCCTGAAAAGCAGATACAGATAACCCTTAATGCATGTTGGGGAGATGTTGGTGTGATAAAAAGTTTGGTTCAAACATAGGACAAGTCTATACAGGAGGTTGGGCCACTTCTTTCAGGTGAAGCATCAGCTCTAGCTGCTTATTTGCCTTTTACCTTCTGCATTCCTTCATACATACCTTAGGTCAGTGTTTCTCAACCTTGGGCTGTCAGCTGTTTTTAGGACTAAACTCCCAGCATCCCTGATCACTGGCCCTGCTAGCTATGGATGATGGGAGTTGTAGTCCAAAAACAGCTGGAGGCCCAAGGTTGAGAAACGCTGCCTTAGGTGATGCTGGGTGACCTGTGCTGGAACTGTACCTGTGGTGGGAGGGTTTACCTATGTGCCATTCTCCTGAATTATGTCCCTTTTAAAAACAATAGAAGCATGAATTGAACATTCCCACGCAGCAGAAACAACCTGATGACTAGTACACCAGAGATCTGGCAGCTCCATGAGCAGCTGACAGTCTGTTATGCCAGCACTCCGGTAAGACTGACGACAGGAGAAGTCAGGTTGATGGCACAGTACTGGAAGTATGGAGAGGAAACTATAGCTTCACTGCCCATTCCAGATCAAATGCCACTTACTAAAAATCTATCTTGATAATAAACAGAAAACATGCTATGAAGGGAGAGTGGAAACATGACGGCCAGTGGCAATGAGTTTTTATTTGTGGATTTGTATTTATGTCATGATCAGCATTTGTTCTGAAAGAAGAGAGATTTCTGAGACAAAGCAATTGTGATAACAGTATTCAGTTATGCAACTTTTAAATTAGGACTGGAGACTAAACAACAATATTGCTGAAAAGTGTGGCAATAAAAAGGATCCATTTCCCCGAATATAATCTAACTACAATGTCCCTGCTTCACTTTACACATAGTCTCCATTACAGCCTTTATTGCCCACTTTGTTCTCTTTCATGAAGTGTTAGGTATTATCAGATTTCCCATCAAACTCTGCAGGTACTTCATTCAATACATTTTTGACATCATTCTTGAAATATATGCAATTATGCACTAAGCTAGATTTCATTATGCCTTCGGTTAGGTTTTTAATTTTACAGTCTCTGCTTCATAATCTCTGCTACTTTGTTGCTATGCTTGCCCAGAAAACATGTCTCTATGGCCACCTGGAAACTACTTTTCAGTGTTCAGGGACTAAGTCTGTCTGGAACACAAATGACTGCAGGAAATTTAATTCAAGGCTGCTAGAGAAACTATCTCCTACTTTTCTGCAGGAGGACAGTCCCCACCAATTATGCAGTAGCGCTAACCCAGAACATAGCACATTTAATGAAGTACATAGGAGCACAGGATGCTCCTTTGGGTGGAGGTCTGGATATCAGAGTGCCAAAGTAAGGTATGGGGTGGAGATGGGGAGACAGAGAAGAGACCAGAGCTTTGGAAGAAAGGAAGCTTTATGGGGAAAGTGTTTTTAAAAATTGGAAAATTAACAGTTAACTATGAAGGCTGTTTAGAGAAGGAAGGAAGAGAAGTGAAAAGTTTTGTGACTGTCCTTCATGGACTTTGTGCAGGAATTGCTTTCGCTTGGGAAGGCAGAGAAAGGCAGGGAAATGACAGTGTGAATTAGAAAGCCAATGCTGTGGCTGAACAAGCATCAGAACGAATAAAATAAAAAAACAAGAGTTTAGTTTCCTCAGCCAGGACCAGAATTCACCAACTGGCAACAGCTCAAAGGGGCACTAAAGATCGAATTCTAGAGTGAGTTGGGATATGTTTAATTCACACCAAGACTCTGCTTTGCAACTACCTGGAATGCAGAAGTATAGATGTGCAAGAATGGGCATGTGACTAGGAGCTCCAGAAATGTAGTTATCAAAGCCAATGGAAGACACACTTGAAGGACTATGAGGAAATGCACGTAGGGCACAGGAGACTTGCTGAGCTCAAAGGTTGTGAGGCCAGTTATAACCCTTGATTACAAAGCAGGATGTTTCTGGAGTGGCAGTTTCCAGGTGCACAAAAAGAGACGACTGTCTTCTATCTGCTTTAACAAGAGAGAGAGGGTCTTGGCTCTACGTGGCGTTCAAGCACCAATTATAGAGCACAGTAGAAATCTCGGGCCTCTCCATTCCCAACTGAAGAATGATAGCTTTGCTTGGGTTGGAGTAGGTCTCAGAGAAAGGTTGGGTGCTAACAAGGTTGTACTGTAGTGTACAAAGGTTGTAGACATTCCACTGCCCATTTCAGCAGAGAATTTCCATGGGAATTTCAAGTGCACCTTTCCCTTGTTTGCTAGAACCTTACCAGCTGACTCAAATGAAATATAGCCTTTTTTGAGCCAAGGTGGTTGTGAAGGGACACATGAAATGGAGGCAGAATAGGGGTCACCAGTAACAGCTTTCTTATTTTGCCACTTTTCCAACTGACTAAGAACAAGAATAGAGTTGCTATTTTTCTTATTACATTTTTTTGTACTTCTACTTGGATTTCTACACTGGTGGCCTGATTTCCTCAGTTATGTATCTCAGAACACTTAACATGTGAATAACAAGATTTTCCATGAGAACAATCCGATACCAATGAAGTGGATTTCGTAATTTACCTGAGTTACATACTCTGGGCCAATGTCCTTGACAGATGAAAATTAATTGAGTCTGGAAAGTGCTGCTATGCACCAATTAAATCTTTGACATAGGATATGAACACATTTTAAACAGTTGTATATGGTAGGTAAGGTCTGGAAAGGTTAAACAGTTGAGTATTATGAAATGTGGTTCTGCGTCACCTCTAATCTTTCAACAGTACGTATTGAGCTTCATTTTTTGCCTTCCAAGTGTTTGAAAAAACTGAAACCAGTCGACCTGTTGCCTTATTACCATAGCTGACAATGTCTCCACAGTAGCTCTCACATCTTCCAGGAATGTGTTCAGGCTTCTGCCTACCTGACTGCTCCAAAGAGCATGTTTATATATCACCAGGTGGCACAAGCCCCTTTAAAGCATTACTGCTACATTTTTAACTACGGTGTCAGAGAGCAACCACATTGTACAAAGCCTGTAATGCATTTCTAGACCAACATGGGATCAAGTGCATATGCATTTGCAGCTTTGTTTGATAAGAGAATGTGTTCAGCCCCTTCCCTGTTGAAGATTTTTCATATTTAATTATTGTAACCTGCCCTGGAACCTGCTGGTGATGGGATAGGCAAGTAATAAATTGTTATTTTTCAAATAAGATCAGCTGTAAATGATTATCAAACCATGGAGGTTTTTCCTGGTTCAAACAATGTTTTAACTTTTGAATATGCAGTCAGCCAGCACAAACTGGACTAAACACTGAACCTTTAGTACTCATCACAAATTTGGACCTCTTTAATTGTGAAGTTATTTTTTAAAAAATTGGAGTATAACAGAACCCCTGGCTAAAAATGAATTAATGAATAATTTTTTAAAAAAATGAAAGTAAATTGAAGTGAAACCCATTTTTAATGCCAATTAATTTTGCTCAGAAATAAAGGATAACGTATTTATATATTCTCCATTCCTGATGCCTTGACAGGAAATGTGATGGATGCATCTCCCATGTATTTAATTTCAGGCATCACATTCCTCGCTTGACTGCAGCATCAAGTGATGACTTCCATTAGTGATGATAGAACCTCCCAGATCTCATACTACAGATAGAACTTTTATATTTCTCAGCACCATCTGAGGCACATCATTTGAATCGAGTCAGCTCATGTATTCAGATTCGAGTTTTCTAATTCTTATTAGTATTATATTGCCCTTGGTAAAATCCAGACATCCCCATAACCTACCAATAGCTGGTTATTTAAGCAGATTTGTTCTAGGTATTTTTTGCTGAATTTATAGAATATTTTTCATACATAGGGAGTTAATCTGTAGCACACAATTCTCATCCCACTTTGCTCTCTACAGCAAACAAAGGTATTGTTTCGGAAGGACAAGATTATCAGTTGTCTTGCAAGGTTAATTAAATCCAGCTACAGGACTGCCACTCTTGCTGCTGTCAGTAATATGAAGAGATTAAAGTCTGTGCAAGCCTAAATAATCAATAATATGTTCTCGTACCTTTATAGGTGTTTGCGTGAGAAAATGCTCTGGCCTTTTGAAAGAGTTAAATCATAGTGTACTTTCTTGGGTGAACCTCCCAACCTTGCCTTCTGGGAAAATATTAACTCCTGAATTGAATAAGATCTAAAAGAAAAAAGCATGTCAAACACAGCTAAAGCTGCAAGCAAACTGAATAACATCTCCCAGTCTGCTGAATAAGCTTAAAGAAACACTGCAGCTATTTCAAAATAAGCTGTTGGCAGATTTGGTAAGGTGACTTGCAAAGTGTTTTCAGACTTGAGTCCCAAACAACCATGAGGAAGAAGGCTAGCAAATTCTGAATCCAAAGTTCAGAAAGGAATATGGATGGAAGAGAGAGACATTGTAGAGAAACTGAAGCTGTAAATTTCTTGATTCAGGCTTTAATACTTTCAATATTGAAAGAATAAACATCTCTACTTCATACATTTTTCTAGTGTACTTCCAGACGGTCAGTATTTTGTGGGAGGGATTCAAGTGCATACCAAAACTTTAAATTTATTACAAAATTAAAATGAGTTAAAACATTGTATTGTCCCAGTCTGACAAATAACACCTTTTAAAAATGGACTTTTGGAGTTTGGAAAGTGATGGGGGGGAAGTGCAAAGAAGTGAATGATTAACAATGATGATTAACAGGAAGAGGTATAAACAGTCTACAAGCAACTCAGGATGAATACTCTTTGAAGCATAGACGTAGCCTAACCACTGTGTGAGCTTTGTGCAATTCAAATCAAGATAACTGTGGAATAACTGCTCATCTGGATGAACCCTAACATAATGCACTAATTGTATCAGAATTAAGTTTTAGATGATATATGTATACCATCGTCCTATCAAAAGAGTTAATTAAAGTGATCAAGGTATTGAAGAATGTTCTCTGCAAGAAGAACATAAAAGAGTTTGGGGACAGTCTGAGGAATGTAAAAGGGAGTTTAGATGACTGAAATGTGTATGTCTCTCTGTGTATAAACATGACAAAGATTTATAACATGATAGTGCAGAGATGACTTTTTTCTCTTTCTGATTCTTCTAAATCTGATGCCAAATGAAAGGAAGACCTTTTCTACCCAACTATTGATTTGGAATTCATTGCCACAAGATGTTGTGATGACTATATCAAAAAGGGATTAGACAAATTAATGAACAATAGATTTGTTAATAAATGTCAAGAAGGCAGACTCACATTTCCGTTATTAGCTATTTGAGCTGAGAGGCAGGCAGGAAATATTAAGGACAACAAATAGGAGCACTTTTGAAGAGTACTGTTCTGTTGGTCTGATCTACTGAGGCAATTCTTGTATTCTTAAGTCTCTTTAGCAAAATGTTGGGTATGCCAATCAGTGCTTGAAACAGTAGTTTATGAGACCCATTTGTTAGAAAACAAATTAAGTGAAATCCCAGTTTGCCTGATTGCATTTTTAAAACACATTCTTCCAATTTATTTTTATTGTCTAAAACAAAGCACAACATATCACTTTTCTACTGTTATCACCATCAAAACCAACCTGTTCCAATTAGACGCTTTCCAGTCCACGTATGGTTAACTTCAATCTGTGTCTGCTTCCATCTGCTTTTGCAGACATGTTTGAGACACTCCTCAGCAATTCAGTATGTTAGTACTTGAAGACTTTCTCCTTGTACCTTTTCTTGTGTAAATAAATAGAAAACCAGTTTAACATCTAAGGTCAATTCAACAAAAACGAGACTATTGGAAACAGAAATGCAAGGACCCTAAAGTTCTTTTGCTATAGTAGCATAGTTTAATCTGGTGTAGCAGTAAACAAAAAAGCAAGACACTTGTCCAAGTTTTCTTTTTACAAATGCTGTGAACTTGTATCCAGGTTAAAGTGATAAACATGGTGCTATAGGCATTTAAATGCTTCCCACCACTGTCACTGATTTAATAGCTGCCTTTCAGCAACCAAGTAACTGCTGAAATGTCAGACTATTCCTTTTTATTACTTCCAGCGCATACAGGCTTAAGCCTGTTTGGCCTGTACAAATATCAGTTTCTCTGATGGGGATAGAGTGGCATTTTCTCCTAAGAAAACAGTTTGCTACCAGAAGAGCCCTCCTGGTGTTAGTAAGGGCTTGGTTGCATTGAAACCACAAGTGGCTGTTATAAACACAAGACTGCAACCCTAAATACCCTTACTAGGGAGCAGGCCCCATGGACACAGTGGGTTTTTCATCAAGCTTACACACAGAGGATTGACCTCTTAAGATTGAAAGTATCTATCCTAAGTAGAAATGGATGAAGCTGTCCATTTCAATTTCTCTCATTTCCTCAGTCTTCAACTATGTACACACCATAAATTAAAAGTGCATGATTCGCACCACAAAGAATCCTGGGAACTGTACTTTAAGGGGACTGGGAATTATAGCTCTGTGATGGGTAAGATTCAGTACCCAGGAGCTTTCCGGGTAAGCCGTGTGCTTCAATGGTATGGTGTGTGCACAACCCTAATCTAAGTTTCTCCAGTTTCCACATCAGCTTGCATTTTTTTTTCAAGCTCTCATGAAAATTTATACACATTTTCATGTGCATTTCTCCTAACACACACTGCAATTGTGCCCAATGTATGCATTTATGAGGTTAACTTTTCAATATTTTCATTAATATACATTTTTGTGCACACTCCCCCTGTAACATATGTATTTTGTGTACATTATTTTGGTTGGAAAACTACATTGCAAAGTTTGGAGAAGTGAATTTTGAAAGATAATGGCATTTCCATTTACGTATTAGTTTGGGAGGTACAAATTAAGTAGGTTACCCTAATTGTAAGGCACTGTTCTGCACCCTTTACAAACTTTTGAAAGTCAGACTGGCTGGTAGAATATATTAATTTTGATCAGCCAATTATGTCAGCGACTTACTACTTGAATCTTGCGACGACTGATCAAATATTTTGCATTTAAATTATGAGAGTCCCTCTCACGCTGAAGAAAGCACCAGGGTCATGGGTCATGGGAAGTTTGCAGCTCCCTTTCAAACCTTGCCATAAACTGAAATCTTTATTTGTATTTCTGCAGATGTGCACGATGCCAGCACGATGCCCCAAAGCAAACCTTGCTGACTGAAACAAACAAATAGAACTGTGGGAGAAAGGTATGAGATATCAGCCATGATTTTAGTGCCTTGAAAAAATCCATCATTGTTTAGAAATATAAAAATAAAATTCAGTAGTACTGCAGGGGGCGGGGGGACTCTCTGAGCCAGAGGTGGATTTAGGGGAGTTTGAGTGGTTCAGTCTCACTGGATGTGGATTCTCGGGGGAACTGCAGGGGTTGCAGCGAATATAGTGTAGAATGGAAGGCGAGAGGTGGGGGGCACTGAATTCGAGACCTCAAGGTTCGCCATTTCCTGAGGCAAACAACCTTGGAGAACTCCAGTTGGGGACTTCTATAGGACTGTTCACAAGTTATATTCAACAAGATCTGTGTACCTATGTGTATGTAAATAGCTGAGCTGTACACTCAAGAATGGGTGCACAGTTCAGCTCAATGCCAGAAATTGGTGGTGCGGTCCAGAGTTTTGGACTAGGACCTGGGAGACCAAGGTTCAAATCCCTGTTCAACCATGAAGTTCACTGGGTGACAGTCCTGGTTCCACAGTTGGACAAATAACTCAAATTCCCAGCTCAGCTTCTGCCCAAGGCTTGAATGCTCAAATTGGAATGGTAATGGTCAGGTTCCAATCACGGGAATCAGCCAGAGTCCAAGGTTAGAATACATGGCTAAGTGTTAGCTAAGATGTTGATCCAATAAGTGGAGGTGCTAGAGGCAAGAGGTGGCAGACCATGAGTGCCCATGATCTTGGAAGAAGGATGCTCTTCTGACAACCCAACACACACACCCTGCTGGGCCATTCTTCTGGGTCAGATGGCTCTTGGGGTCTGAATTTCTCCTTCCCCAGCCCTCTTGGACTCTCCCTGGTGTCATCCAACTCCAGCTCCCCAATCTTCTCCCATTTTTGATCAGCATCCAACCACCTTTTCCAGGACATCTCCATGGGGCTCACAACAGAGGCCTTGGGTCAGTCACAATCTCTTTGCCTACTTCACAGGGTGGTTGTGAGCATAATATGCAGAGGGGGAGAAAAACTACATAT